CTCTCTAAGCTATTTTGCTTTGGGAGTGCCATCTGGCCAGACTAATAAAGGTCTGTTTTATTTTCCAACTTGTCCGATGTGTTCCTTTCCGGGTGTTCTTCACTGCAGTCAGCTCCTCGGAGCATTTGGTAAGGCCCTCGGTCTTACATGCTGACTCTGGCTCATGACAGTGTCCCAACACTGCATAGAGCTGGTGGTGGTGGGATGGGGATTTGAACCCAGCCCCTACTGACTCCAATGTCTTGCTCTCTGCCCTCAATTCTTCTCCCTCATTCTTTTCTCTCTCCTATCTCTCTCTTCCTCTTTCTCTGTCACATAGCTAGCTCTTCCTTTTTGCCACAGATCACTCTTCCAAGATTCTCTTTTCCAATGACTGTGGGCTATGCCTTGTACGGGAAAAATAGCAACTCAGGAGCAACCAGAAAGAGAGCTGAAGGATGGCAGGGGCTGGTGGCTTATGGGACGGATGGGCAATTCACTTCTTTGTCTTTCATAGCACAGACCCTCTAACTTGATCCTTGGGTGGGCAAGGTCTATAATTCTCGGAGTCGCAACAGCACTCAGGGTAATAATGGAAATTTTTGTTTCAACCTAGGGAACAAAAATAAAACAGTACCTGTAAGACTCAAAATAATAAGCACTGTCTACTTCAAGATTACAGAGTATAGTCTGACCTCTGGACAGCCATCCAGGAGAAAGCATGAGAATCTTGCAGTAACTCCTGATCTCAGTTGAAAGGATCAATTTCCATCTTTCTCAAATAAAACTGAATAGATTCTAAGCCAAATTTTCAAGAATGCAACCTGTTAAACTACAGATGTGGAGGAAATAGCAAAAATAAACTCAGAAATAAACAGCAATGTTGATTTGTGGACTGATGAACTCAGGCAAGAGGAAGGCTCAGCCTTGTCACCTGAGAACTCTTTAAGGGTCCACTCTTCCTTGTTCTTAATTATTTTTTGCTCTTTGGAAACTAGGACTCACATTACCGCAAATCACCATGCTAAAAGGAATTTAAGTGACTCTCTTCTAAGAGAATAGAGAAGAAAAAGGAATCAAAGTCAATAGAAAGAAAGCAGACCCATTCACAAGGTATGATCCAAAAATACAGTGACTGTTAAAAATTCATTACAGTAAAAGACACATTGTCATTAATCTGCCTCCACAATACTCTCTCTTACCCTGAATATCCTGTTCTCATCCTTCCTGCCACTTCGTGAAGCAGTTCTAGAAGTCCTCTTTTTTGAGTGGCTTTAGTTACACTGTTAGGATTGCCTCAAAGTCCTGCACTGATTTAAAGTGTTTACCTCCCATGGTCATTTTGACTTTGGGGAAGAGCCAGAAGTTCCAGGTTGCCGGATCTGGTGAATAAGGTGGATGAGGACCCACTGTGATGTTTTTGCTAGCTGCCTCTCCTTTGGATGGTTCTCGGCAGCCACATTCACTATATTTCTTGATCATGTCTCATAAAAGACAAAAGAGGACATCCAGAACTGCTTCATAAAGTGGCAAGAATGATTGGATAAGTGTGTTCAAAGCAAGAGGGAGTGTTTTGAGGGAGATTAATAATAAAGTGTTTTTTACTGTAATGATTTCGTAAAAACTGAAACATTTACTGCGTCTTTTGGTTATCCCTTGTATCTCTACTGCACTCTGCAGCCATAGTCTTTTCTCTTTCTTTTCTTTTCGTGATGGTGGGGTTCAAACTCAAGGCCTCACATGTACCAGATGAGTACTCTAGCACTGAGCCATATCCCTGGCTCTTCCTCCCACTATCTTATTAATTATGAAACATGGCTCAAATAGTACAATCTTCTATTTAAATTACATGTATTTACAGGGATTTAGCTCAATGGTGCCACACCTGTCTCACAAGTGCAAGGTCTTGAGTTCAATCCTGGTACCAAAAAGAATTGCATGTATTTACATGTAAAAAAAAATTACATGTATTTAAGTAATTATTTGAATAAGGATTTGAAGGAGAATAAAATCAATTACTAGAGATAAAATAAAACTTTAACTGTGAGTGGAAAAACAATAGATAAAATATTTTTCAACTTTTTCTAAATTTTACAAATTTAAATTATGAGGATGATGATATAGTACTGACAAGGTTTCAATATATTAATTAATCTATTCCACACCCGGGCTATCTTTTCTTTTCTTTTCTTTTCTTGTGTGTGTGTGTGTGTGTGTGTGTGTGACAGGGTCTCTTGATGTAGCCCAGGCTGGCCTTGAACCTACAGAAATTCTTCTACCTCAGCCTCCTGAGTTGTAGAATTAGAGATGGCTTTCAGTATCATTTTTATTTTATTTTATTTTTTTGGTACCAGGGATCGAACTCGGGACCCTGTGCTTGCAAGGCAAGCGGTGGAACCACTGAGCTAAATCTCCAGCCCTACCATTTTTATTTCTAACTCACTAATGATAGCACCAAGGCCCTGAAGGTTCAGTTGTGCATGGAGTTTATATCATCTGGAAGTGGCAAACTGGGATTCAAACCACAGGTCCTTCATGTTTGTACACTGTGCAACACAAAGCATTTCCTATGAATAAAGCTTTGTCACCTTTCAAGCTCTGAGCAAACTGAAGAAATATATGACAACCACTCCCCTCAATTAAGACTTTCAATTTCTATTTCTATTTTCAATTTAAAAAGAAAATAAAATAACCGTTCATTAAATTTAATTCATTAAATAAATATTCCTTAATTTAGTACATATAGACACAACAAAGAATAAAAAATCATGGCTGCTTCTTAAATGTATGTGAAAACGCAAAAGACATAAAACAGCCAAAACAAAAACTGGCAAAGAAAAACAAAATTAGAAGATCTACACTGTCTTACTCCAAGACATGGTCTGAAACCACAACAGACTGAACGGTATCGATGTAAGAATAGACAGGAAAAGCTAGGTGTGGTGACACACACCTGTAAACTAGCATTTGGAAGGCTGAAGCAGGAGAATCATGACTTTGAAGCCAGCCTGAGCTACGCAGGGAATTCAAGACCAGCCTGGACTATATAACGAGACACTGTCTCAGTAAGCCAAAAAAGAAAAAGAAATAGACAAGTAAATAATCACTACACAACAGGGAATTCAGAAAAGGACACAAATTAATTCAATAGGGAAAAGAAATTTATCAAATTGAGCTAGAAAAACTAAATATCCATGTGGGGAAAAAACAAATCTCAAGCTTTACCTTACTTATAACAACAGCAACAGAAAAACCTAAATGTAGATCATACACATAAACACAAAAGTAAAAATTATAGTCTCTGGAAGAAAATGTAGAAGACCTTCACAAGCTGAGAGTAAACAAAAACTTCTCGGGACACCAAAAGCATTAACTGTAAAAGAGACTGACAAGTTAAGCTTCATCAAATTTATAACATTTTTTCTAAAAAGATAACATTAACAAACTTAATAGCTTAGCCATAGACAGGGAGAATACATTTGTAAATCCATAACCCTCATGAAGGGCGTGATTTCAGAATAAATAAATTTTTCAAATCATTAATAAAAGTAAAATCGTGCGATCCATTTTTAAAAGGGCACAAGCTTAATAAGACAGAAAAATTCCTTATTCAAACACAAAATGATTGTAGTGTAGAAATCCTGAAGTTAAGCAAAAAGAAAGAAAACCTCAACTACTACTAAATGACAGAATGTACAAATGTCAACAAGCAAATGTTCAATATTGACAAGCATCTGGGAATACAAATTAAAGCTAGCTGTAGTTGTGCACACCTGTAATCCCAGCACTTGGGAAACTGAGGCAGGAGGATTGCTGTGCATTTGAGGCCAGCCTGGGTTAGTTCAAAATAAGTCTGAACTACTTAGTGAAACCTTGTGCCAAACAAACAAAAAATACAAATTAAAACTACAATGAGGTACCAGTATCTCACTAAAATGACTAAAATTTTTAAAGACTGACAATGTCAAATGTTGACAAGTCTGAACATCTGAACCACTCGTGTACAGATAATAAGAATGAAAATGATAATTTGCTGAGGAGAATAATAGTTTCTTACAAAGCTGCATCTACACCTAGTCTATCCTATGGCTCAACAACTCTCAAGAGAAATGAAAACATGTTCACAAAATTATCTGTACATAAATGTTCATAACAACTTTATTTCCTATCTGGAAACATCCAAGATGTCCATCAAAAGTGAATAAATACAAATTATGATGCAGTTTTACAGTGGAATAATGCTTGTCAATAAAAAGGACAATCTACTGATACATTTAAGGGGATGCAGGAACCCCCCAACACTGTGTTGAGCAAAAACGGCAGATACTAAGGAACACATTGTCTGATTCCATTCAGTCAAGTTCAAAAGCAAAGACACATCTATCTCTGGTGATAGGAATCTGAAGAGCAGCTGTCTCTCCAGTAAGGGGTGGAGTGATAACTGACTGGAAATACTCAGGAGAAGACTTTCTGGGACCATGGAACTACTTCGCACCTTGGTTTAGGCTGGTTATTGATGCATATGTGCATTTGTTAGCTTATTAAGCTGGATACTGAAGATTTATCCATTTTATATAAGCCATAATTCAAGAATTTCAAAGTATAGGATGGGAAAAAGTATTTGCACTATACATAAAAGATGAAGAATTAAAATTTCTAATATGTAAAGAACTGTCATAAATAAGTTTAAAAAAATACAGGCCAATAGAAAAATAAAGTCATGAACAGGCCGGGTGTGGTGGTGCATGCCTGAAATCTCAGCATTTGGGAGGCTGAGGCAAGAGGATTGCCACAAGTTCAAGGCCAGCCTGGACTACAAAAATGTCATGAACAGACAAATTTACCAAAAAAAGATACATATGGTAAATAACTGTGGGGAACTATTTGAATTTATTTGTTATCAAAGAAATGAAAAAAATTTAATAACATTCTGCTTTATTATATAATTAACATTTTGCAAAATAAATATCTAATTTTGGTAAGAGTGCAATAACAAGACAGCCAAATAACATGAGTATATAAATCAATATCACTTTTTGGGAAATACATTTTGGAATTGTACATAAATCACCTCAAAAAGGTTCATAGCCTTCCCTAGATCTGGTGATTTTTATTTCTAGAATTTTTATTCTTGGGAAACAATCAGATGTTGAGAATGATGAGGAGGAACACATGGCTGGACTGATCTAATGCAACAGGACAGCAAGTCAACAAAGCCAGCTGAGTGATCCTGAGTCCAAGGGCACAGTGCTCCAAGTATCTGCTAGGTCTGAAATTAATGTTAAGAGTCAAAAATCTCTTAAAAGCCAGAGATTTAAAACATCTAAATATGTTGACTGGTCTGAGTAGGAGTTGTACACACTGGTAAGCAGAAAGCATCGTGGACAGGGACAAAGTGAACTACGACACCATCCCGTTTTCAGTCTGTGGGCTCTGACAGTTACTATCAAAAGCAACTCAGTGTGACAGCGATTGAGGCAGGAAGTCTCCAGCTTCTCCGTCCAGGTTTCTGGTGACAAGGAACTCAGGGACCTGTGACAGCAACTTGGCTTCCTTAGCAGGAAAGTATTATTGCTAACTTGAAGGAAATTTATAACTAACTGTTATGAAACTAAGAGAATCAAATCATGTAATTAATATTTTGTGTTAAGAGTAAATATGTGCAACAAACAACAAAATTGGAGTATGGACCACTGGGTAGATATAGGACTATTTTATCAGCGTTAAATTTTCTGATTTTTTATAATAGTGAATTTCTGTGGCTTTATAAGGTAATATCCTTTTTCTTAGGAAACTAGCACTGAAGAATTTAGGGAAAAGAGGATCTGTCTACAGCTTACTCTCAAAAATTATTCAGGAAAAACATTACAGACACACAGGCACACACACAGAAGAGGAAGAAGAGTAAAGGAAAAAAATGTTAATTTCTACAACTTTTCAGCAAGTTTGAAATTATTAAGATAAAAACTATATATTAAAAGAAAAATATGTGCATGTTTAAGAAAATTTGGTCTAGAGCCGAGGATTTAGCTCAGTGGTTTTGCTGCCTGCCGCTCAAGTGCAAGGACCCGAGTTCCATCCCCGGTACCAAAAAAAAAAAGAAAGAAAATTTGGTCTATTAGAATGACAAATTTACAATTGGAATTTTAAATGTACAACCGAGAAACTGAGTTAGAATTATGACATTAAGTTGAAATCGTGAGTTTTTATGTCCAGACTCAGAGCATTAAAAAATTTCCATTTCACCACATTTATGAATTTAGTATATTAAATTCTAAGATAATGACATATTTCAGGAGACTTTTTTTGCTACTGTAGATGGTTGAAGTACTTAAAAATAAATCAAATACATTTATCAGAAATATTAAATTGTTTGAAGGTATTTTATTAGTTAGGTTTGGAAACAATCAAACATTATTCAGGACTGATAATTACATATTAACAACTGCTAGAATTATAAATATAAGAATAAAGTTTGCAGGCTAAACCTAAAAGCCTAGGAAAACATTTTCATTTGAAATTTAAACTACAGGCCTATTCATTAGTAGCCATGCTCAAGAATACCAAAAGTCTCCCATCACTGGGTGAGGCAGAGTTTCTTAAGTGTCTATAAATTCTTTGAGGCTTTTCTCATGGAGAGGTAGGGCTTCTGGCCCCGCCCCCTGAATCTGGCCAAACACAACCACATCAACAAATTATGATCGCAGTGACGCGTGATTCCCAAGGCCAAGCCAAAGAAAATCCAGGCAGCCCTGCCACTCCACTTTAGGGTACTTAGGCCAAGAGGTCTGTGCCCCGTGGAGAGGCCATGCCAAGGTGCTCCTATACCCACTGCCAACGGCCTCCAACCCCAGTCACCTGGCCCAGGCACTACCCACAGGTGTCCCTTGTGTCTCTCCAGAATTCCTGTTGCCGAGTGTGGTGGTGGATGCTTGTAATCCCAGCGCTTGGGAGGCTGAGGCAGAAGGATAACCCCAAGTTCAAGGCCAGCCTAGGCTACACAGGGAGACCCTGTCTCAAAAGATGAAACAAAACAAAAACCACAAAAAAGAAAAGAAAACCTTCTGTGTAGAAGCCCTAAGCCCCAGTGTGATGGTATAAGGAGCTGTGGCCTTTGGAAAGTAATTAGGGTTAGATGAGGTCATGACAGTAGCATCCCTATAAGGCAATTAATGTCCTTATGATAAAAGGAGAGAGGGCCAGGGATTTAGCTCAGTGGTTCCACAGCCTGCCTCGAAGGCACAAGGTCCAGAGTTGGATCCCTGGTACCCCGCCCCCCAAAAAAGAATTAGTCCTTCCAGGGGCTGGGGATTTAGCTCAGTGGTTCCACCGCCTGCCTCAAAAGGGCCAGGACCAGAGTTCAATCCCCGCTATCAAAAAAAAAAAAAAAAAAAGACTAAGAATCAGTCCTTCCACCCCTGAGGAGGTTGGATGCCCCAGGCCCAGGTGCCTTCCAAGGAGCTGTCCACCTATTCCTGCCTCTCATTGCTTCAGATCCCAGTCCCAGCCACGATAACAGCCTGCCAACGACGTCTCCACCAGCTCCCACAACTGCTACACTTGATCTTAGCCAAAAGGCTGAGAAGCGATTCCCCACAATGCTTATGAGCTAACTTTATTCTATGTTCCTCGTGCCTCTGCTTCTCTGTCCATTCCTGACCAACACATTAGGCATAGGGGTGAGAGTCAGAAAAGTTCATTTGATGAGAGCGGAAAATACATGGAAAGAAAAGGAAAATCCACACGTAGAAATAAGAGAGGATCATGTCACAAAGTGTATCATGAACTACTTCTTTCACACAGGAACACTTACACTTCTTGGAGGAACATAGTTTGGATCTGTGCCTTTGGCCACTGAGAGTTGCAAAACCCGGGGAGAACGATCAGAAACTCAAAGAGAACTTCTTGCTAAGTGATTGCTGAAGGATCTATATGTAAATGAAAGCATGAAATATTATAGCTGTTGGAGAAAGGAGTAATAACTGGATTTTTCCTTGTTACAATCAACCTCCTGTCAATTATATATACTGTTTCAATTTTAAGAACTCTTCCCACAATCAGTAGTGCTCTTTCGACCAGATTGGTGTTTCTCAAAATTTCTTTATCATAATACACAGTTATGAAGCACATTTTATACCATGGTATGGTAAATGTAAACATGTGCTCTGTACATGAAGCAAAATCTCCATGAAACAAGGCTTATCCTGTATGATATATTCTGAGTTTCAAAAATTTTAATTTGATTTCATTAAGAAAAAAATGGAATTAATATCATGATCTATTTGGATGGGTTGTGACCTGCAGTTTAAAAAACACCTCACTTCCTACTAGTGCCTGAGACCAGATCCTTGAGATAAGAATCCCAGTCACCACTGAGGACATTTCTGGGTTGGCTGTTTCCACTGCAGTGCAGTTTGAGATAATGCTGATCAGAACTGCCCACTTAACCAATTGTCAGAGACACCCAAATATTTCTTTTCCTGACCAAAAACCTATGGAATGGTTTTTCTCAAATACACTATTGCCCTGTAAGGGGTCGTCTGTTGGAAGTTTTCATTATCGTTATCATTATCATTATTATTATTATTATTGACATATAATTAACATACCATAAAATGTACAATTAAGTGGTTTCTAGAATATTCATGAACACAGGATGTTTTTGTTCCCTGACAGAGAAGCCCCATAGCTATCAGTAGTCACTCTCCATCCCCCATCCCCTCATCCCCTAAGAACCACTAATTTACTCTCAGTCTCTATGGATGTGTCTATCAGAAAATTTTAAATAAATAGAATCATAACAAATATGTAGCCTTTTATGTCTGGATTTAGCATACTTTAAAGATTCATCTATCAGTACTGAATAACATTTCATTTTATGGATTCGCCACATTTTGTTTATCCATCCATCCATCCATTGATGAACATTTAAATTGTTGCCACTTTTAGGCTATTACAAATGCAGCTGTTATGAATATTTGTGTGCAAATTTTTGTGTAAGTATGTTTTCATTTCTCTTGGGTACATGCCCATTCTGCATGCTAACATTTTGAGGAATTTCCAAACTGTTTTCCACATAATCTATATCATTTTACATACCCACCAGAAATATAGAAGGGTTTCGATTTCTACACATTCCCACCAACACATACTATTTTCTGTTTATTTATTATTATGTTTATTTCCATTCTTATAGAAGTTATATCTTACTGTAATTTTAATTTGCATTTCCAGAATGATGAATGATGTTTAGCACCTTTTCATCTGCTTCTTACCCATTTGGATATGATCATCGATTTATAACGAATGGGGTTATATCTCAGTAAACCCATGGCAAGGTGAAAATATCATTAAGTTGAAAGTGCATTTAATAACTTAACCTAAAATATTAGTTATTTATACCTGTGATCTCATGGCTGATTGGGAGATGTGGATCATTACTGCTGCCCAACATTAATAAAGAGTGGTCTTTAGTCACAAAGGGGCCAAATTTCAAAATATTATTTATACTGCATGCATATTATGTTTGGACCATCATAAGGTAAAAAAAAATGTAGGTTGAGCCATCTGAAGTCAGGCAGGCACTGTATTTTCTTTGAAGAAGGCCCATTCATTTCAAAAAGTGGGTTATTTGCCTTTTATTGTGTTTCTTAAAATTCTTTATATATATTCTGGATTCTAGTAACTTATCAGACATATTATCTGCAAATATTTTCTCCCACTTTTTGGGTTGTCTTTTGTCACATGTGCTTTTGATGTCATAACTAAGAAATCATTGCCTATTTCCACGTAATGCTCTATTTCCAGAGCTCTATGCTCTTTTTTTTCTTCTGACGGTTTTACAGCTCTTTTATTTAGGTCTGTGGCCCATTGGAACTTCTGTATGTGCTGTGACACAGGATCCAACCTCAACCCTTGGCATGAGGATCTCCAGTTATACATCACCAATTGTTGAACAGTTATTCTTTTCTTCAATTAATCTCTTGGTTGGCACCCTTCGCAATTCAACTAACCATAAATGTAAACTTGGTGATCTCAGATGAACTATCCTGAAGCCTGTCCATTCTTTCTTTGCCCTGCTCAAGTCTGCTAGTGAGCCTACTAGCAAATGAGCCCTTCCAGGGTCACAAAGGAAAGCTCATGGAGCCTATTTATTGGAGAACCCTACTTATTCTCACTAAGTTCCTTTTTTTTGAGACATGGTTCAGGCTGGTCTTGGGCTCACTATGTAGCCCAGGCTGGCCTCGAACTCACAGTAATCCTTCTGCCTCAGCTTCCCTAGGGCTGGGATTATAGGTGCATACCACCACTGCTAGCCTTGCATTCTTGTTTTTGTTGGGGTTTTTTTGCATGCACTTTGACACCATAATGTTAAGTGAAATAACTCAGACACTTAAGTTTAAATGTCTCGTGATTTCTCTTATATGATAAACCCAAAATGTAAATAAAGTACAAAAGAGAAAGTAGATAATAGGAAACAGAGAGATAGATCTATATATATATATATATATATATATCCTTTTATTGGTGCATTTTAGGTGTACAACATAAACATTCTTGGTTTTTGTGCTTCCCTTCACATGATTCTATCAAGCTTGGTTATCTGTTTCCAATTTACAGAAGATCAAAAAAGAGGCGGGTTAAAAGATTACCACCACCCCCCATACATACACACAAAAGAGAAAAGACAGGAAAACCAAGAGATGCAAATATTTCATAATTTAAAAGCACAGAAGTCAGACCATTTAGCTATGGATGAACTGTGCTTTGTACTTACATAGCGCACAAGAGGTTTTCTGTATTAAAGTATTACATAGTAGTTTATGTTCATAATCAAGATTCTAATCCAATGAAGAAAAGGCTGAAAAGAGGCTGGGTGTAGCTCAGTGGTAGAGTACGTGCTTAACATGTGTAAGGGCGTGGGTTTAATCCCCTACACTAAAACAAACAAAAAATCACTGGGTACTGAAAAGAATGGAGATTGGGGTTCATTTTTCCAGATAATCACTTCCATTGTTGGGTAGCTGATTTCTCTACACTTCACTGACATCTGCTGCCCTAAAAACTCCTTGTTTACGTCTAGTTTCAGGATCAATATAAAGTAGCTTTACTTCCACTTCTTCTTCCTCTTTCCGATACCAACCTGAACATTTGAACATAGCTGTCACCGCTTCCTCTGGCTCTTCTCAAAGCTAAACATGCCATTTCTCTTAACTATTTTTCATATAACAGTTTCCATGAGCTTCAACATTTCATTTCCTTCTAAGCAGTTGTGAGTTTATTATCAGCTCTTAAACTCTAACTTCCATACTGTAACATAAAACTATTGTGTTTAAAGTAGTATAGAGTAGCACTGTCACAAGTACAGTAGTACTTGTGGACCCTGTGTACAAGTGATATTTTACATATTTCATTAATGCAACCTACCACGGAATTAGCTTCTCCAACAACTACAACACAATCTTAACTCCCACAGGAAAGGCATATCTGAAGCTAAGCTGCCTTTTAAAGATAAGGAGAAATTCGGCTTTAAAAGCACAAGGTAAACCATCTGCAAAGTCAGAGACACAAGAAAACATCAAGAGGGCCAGGGACGTAGCTCGGTGGCAGTATGCCTGAGCAAGGTCCTGAGTTTGAACCCCAGTACTGAAGGGGGGTAGTTGTCAAAACCTGTACTGCACATTTGCAGATTTCCTTTTATGTTTGTTTTGTGTTTGCAGTGCTGGAGGATTGAACCCAGTGCCTCACACCTGCTAAGCAAGACCTCTCACTTGTAAAGTTTAGTGTGAATTTTAGCTTCACCAAAATTTGAATCGAATATAATTAGTGATGATGATCATCTGATTACCTACAATTGCTACAAGTATTTAACTTTCTTATGAGATACTTTGAGATACAAATAGACTATAGGTCATGAAAATTAGAACAATGATATTGGGACAGTGAACCAAATTAGATCAGGATTTATGGAGAGTCTCAAGATACACTACCCATTTCGCAGACACTGTCTTTTGAACCTGTTGGGCTGTGCCAGCCTCTGGATCCTTTTGGAGGGTTCAGTAAACAATGCAGGATGAGGAATCTCCCAAATTACAGACTCTCTTCTGCAGCTATAGTAATATTGATCCCTGCATGTTGAAGAAGAGAAAAAAAGTGAGCAGAACAGCTTAAGTTCAAATTATCATAGTATTTTCCAACACTGATCCCCAGGCCTGAGAGAGCAAGAAGGACATTTTGCATGCTTATTGTGGGGCTATTTTTCACATGGGGAGAAATGAATTGGTTTACCAATAAATACAGCTAATCAGGTTTTCAGTTGGCTTCTATTGTCTTTTGCTAAACCTAGTTTCTGTAATAAATTGCAATTTTTTTTTTTTTTTTTGGTACTGGGGATCAAACTCGGGACCTTGCACTTGCAAGGCAGACAGCGGCACCACTGAGCTAAATCCCCAGCCCAATAAACTGCAATTTTTAAGTAGAGCAAAAAATGAACAGGAGAAAACTTTTTGCTTTTAAAACCAAATATTTTATCATCTACATAAATAGTTTTAAATTGTTTACTATATTTTTAGTTAATAGAATGAATTTACATTGATACCTTTGTCTTAAACTCTTGGGTGTAGAAATAAATTTGACTTAATCATGATGTGTATATTATTTAGTCATTTTTGAGGTTCATTAACTAAAATTGTATTTGGGATAAATAATAATGTTGTTCTTGTTATCTCTGCCCTTCATTCTGGTGCTAAGACCAGTTACAGTGAACAAACCAGCAAAGGAGATAAAATGGAATTTAAAAACATCACAGTTCATAGTAATGAAGCCCATGGGTAAATTTAAAATTCATCAAAATTTCATGAATAAATAACTTTATTCATTAACAGTGTTATATACAGCATGAACATTTGGGAATACCCTAAATCTTAACAAGAGGAGAATTTACCTTCTTGATAAAGCCAGCCTTGGGTGCTAATGTGGGACCAAAATGACTCCATTTTGGAGCCGTCTCCTTTGTTCTCTCAAATTTGTGCTTAAACTAGAAATTCACCACTTGAAATTCCTGAGTTTATTACCCAACCACCTGTGTACCCGGGGAGAGAGCGTTCCAGGCACACTATCTGTAGGATAAACAGTTAATGAGCTGACTGTCCACACAAGATAGATGCGGCCATTAGTTAGTGGGTCTGCTAACGATCAGTATGTAACAACCGGCCGTTAATCTTTGCCCCTTTTCTCCCTCACAAAAACCAATACGTAATCCCCTTCGACCCCCAAAGCCTAGCCAACCAAAACCCTACACTTCATATGTATTAAGTATTAACCAATCACCTGGCTACTAATAACCAAAGCTTGTTGTATTCTCAATAAAAACCCTGCTAGTTAGAGACTCAGGGCTCTCAATCTCGATCCGCTGTGTCGGTGACAGTTGAGAGTCCCTGCTTAAGCTTGAATAAACGACCCTTGTGTGCTTACATCGGAAACGGCCTCCTGGTGGTCTCTGGGACTTCACAATCTGGGCACAACACTAACACTGACCTGTTAGGTACGTAGTGGTGGGAAACTTTCTTGGGTTGAGCAAGATTGCTAAGTCTCTTTGATAGCCGAGCCATCAAAGCACTCTCAGGAACAGGGCAAATAGGATCTTGATTCCCCCAAAACAGTCTTCTGTTAAAAATCATAAAAATAAAATAGTCGAAAATTTGCTGCTAATGAACATCTTAGAAATTGCTCTTGACAACTTCTATATAGATTTTTACTTCAAGAAGTATATCAAAAAAATCTTACAATTTCCAGGCATTAGAAAGAGATAAAGTATGGACATACAGAAATAAAATAAGACTGTTTTACCCACTGTCTTAAAAAGTAATCAAAAATGAACCTGTTTAGAGATGAGACCTTTCTATTTCTACCACTGTGGAATTAATGATGTGATCTACAGTCAGCTTGGCTTTAAATGGGCCAACCATGTGCACTGCGCTCACAGTTTGAGTGAACCCTATACCAGGCGGTCAGGAAGTAAGACAGTATGGGAGCAATATGGAGATTGGCCATCTGTGGACAGTTTCCTGTGTGCCCACCCTGTGCTGAGTACTTCACAGACCTCAGTTTATCTCGTCTCAACAGTTCTGTGAAACAGGAATGATTGCTGGGGAGGAGTAAAGCAAAAAGGAGAAACCAGTACGGGATTATCCTGGAAAGGCTTCATGGAAGGAAGCAAAAGGCAGAGGGTGCCATAAAAGGAGCATATTCCATGTAGGGTAATCATGAAAATCATGTTGGGAAGTACTTAATTACCTAGCACTGCTAGAATCAATAAAGAGGGTAAAAGAAGGCCAGGAAAGGAGAGGAGAGAAGAAGAGAGAGGAAGGGAGGGAAGGAGAGGGCAGGGGAGGGGGGGGGAGGCTTGTAAATAAGGAGGGGAAGAGGAGTTGAAGAGGGGGAATGGGAAAAAAAGAATCAAGGTACATCATGTACAGGTACAAATTCCCTCTGATGAATGTGATCATTATGTATCTCTAAAATGTACCAATAAATGTTTTGCTTTAAAAAAAAAAAGGCGTAGAGGGCCGGGGATTTAGCTCAGTGGTGCCGCTGCCTGCTGCGCAAATGTAAGGACCTGAGTTCGATCCCCGGTACCAAAATAAATAAATAATAAAAAATTTTTTAAAAGGCCTAGAAAGATAACCTGACACATATAACTTAATTTTCTAACTGAGTTCATCCCTTTAAAAGGGCTCCAAATTTTCCAAATTTCTCTATATTTTTAGATATAATCTTTGTTCTGTCTCAGTATTAGAAGTATTATTAATTAATATTCCTACTCCTTACATTCTGCTAATCCCATCTCAAAATGTGCCAGGGCCAGGATTTAGCTCAGCGGTTCCACTGTAAGACCGAGGGCCTTACCAAACGCTCCAAGGAGCTGACTATAGTGAAGCACACCCAGGGATCCCAGCGGTGCCTCCAGAATGCAAGGCCAAGGGCCTTACCAAATGCTCCAAGGAGCTGAAGTGGAGCACACCCGAGGATCCCAGTGGTGCCTTCAGAATGTAAGACCAAGGCCTTACCAAACGCTCCAAGGAGCTAGCTACAGCGAGGACCACCCAGGAAGGAACACACCGGCCATGTTGGAAAACAGACCTTTATTAGTCTGGCCAGACGGCACTTCCGAAGCGAAATAGCTCAGAGAGGCACCTGGCTCAGAGTCCGAGGTTATTTTATAGGGGGTTAAGGGGGGGGGTTAACATGTGGATTCACAGAAAAAAAAAAAAAAACAAAGGTTAGTGGTTCATTGTCACATGCTGATGTTCAGCAGACATCCTGACTGACAGTTACGACCACCCTGTTTACAGATTGTCCTATAGATACTGGGCCCTGGGACATTTGGATTTAGGGCAAACAGATGGCTGAGTAACCTCGCCCTATTACTGATTGTTCATTGTCCCAAGGCAAACACACTCCAACCATCAAATTTACAACAGAATCTAGGGGAGTAATTAACTTTTGAATCACACAGTCCCACACCGCCACCTGCCTCACAAGTGCAAGGTCCTGAGTTCGATCCCCGGTAGCAAAAAAAAAAAAAAAAATAGAAGTTTGTGAATGCCATTTCAAAATGTGGCTCAAATCTGCCCACTTCCCTCCATCCCTGCTGCAGCTCCTGTCCATATTCCTATCCTGCCTGCTCCCATCTCCACCCCACTTACTACCAAAGTTATCTTTCCAAACACAAATCTGATAACCCAGTCACCACCTTGTTCAGGACCCTTAAGAGGTTTCCACTGACTTTAGAATAAGGTCCCAACTCCTCCACCGGGCTTTTTGTTGTTGGGACAAATATTTGACATACACAACTCAAAGGAGGAGGAATTGTCTTTATTCCAGTTTCAGAGCTTTCAGCTCCAAGGCAGGAGCATCATGGCAGGAGGGCTCAGTGGAGCACAGCTGCACACTTCACAGTGGCCTGGAGCAGGGCTCAAGGAAGAGCCCCAAGGGGAGATGTATCCTGCAAAGGCTCCATCTGCCACAGCAATTCAGCTCTGAGCACCAGCGATTAACCTGCTAATGAGTCCAGCCACCGCATGGTCCAATCACCTCTCCCCTGCAAAGGCTCCATCTGCCGCAGCAATTCAGCTCTGAGCACCAGTGATTAACCTGCTGATGAGTCCAGCGGCCCCATGGTCCAATCACCTCTCCAAGTCTATTAATCCAGTCAAGTTGACAATTAAATTTGCACAGCACAACCTCAGCCAGGCATGGTGGCACACACCTATAATCTCAGCCCTGAGGAAGGCTGAGGCAGGAGAATCACAAGTTCAAGTCCCACTTGGGCAAATTAGAGAGACTCTGATTCAAAATTAAAAGGGCTGAGGATCCAAAGGTCCTTGGCGCAAAGGTCCTGGGTTCAATCCCTGGTGCCAGGAAAAAAAAAAAAGGTACAGTCTCCTCACGGTAGCTGACAAGGCCTCCACACTTGGACCAAGAGTGCCCACCTCATGTTAATTTAATAAATGAATGAGTGAAGAAAAGCAGGGATTCACCTGATGGTACTGGAGAGGAGAGAATGACCACAGACCACAGGAGAGTCTGAGACTAATGCCGAGGTTCAGACCTCAGGGGACAAGGGCCAGGCAGGGGAGAGCTGCAGTGGAGAGAGGAGAACTATACTCTCTGTGAAAGGAGCACTGGGCAAAGGCACAGGCACCATGGAATGGAAGTCCAGGAAAGGATGGTCTTGAGACAAGACACACCAGATATGTCAAAAATCATCAAATATCATTTAGACAAAAAAAGGAAGAAAATTGAAAAAACAAAAGACAGTAAGAGTGGTCAGGTGATTATCAGTGGTACCAACAGGAATAATGTTCTTGGGTAGGGGTAAACAGAAAAGCTCAGATGAAGATGATAGGTCTCCCACCACCTCAGCAGCTATTATGTATAGTAGCTGCCCTCTTCCTATGGTGCCTTGCCCCCTCCCCTGTGTGACATCATGCCAAGATAGTTGCTCCCACCAAAGAACAAACCCTTCTTCCCAGCATGCCCCTGTTCCCACCTAGACAGTAACCTAATACTCACTCACCTCCTACCACCTAGTGACATCACTGGCTCCTCCATTCCCTAGTCACTACCTCACTCAACCCCGCCTCAGCCCCTACAAGCCCCACCCCAGTCTCTATAAAAGACTCTCCCTGCCCGAGCCATATTGCTTTTGTCTCTCCTTTGTTCAGAGACAGCCCGGCAGATCTATTCCCCTAATAAAGGCTTGTTGTGGCCTGGTCTGGTCTTGGTCTTTGGCCCTTTTACCTGACAGAAGAGACACTAAGAGAGGCACTGGGGATTTAGCGCAGGGGCACCGTGCCTGCCTGGCAAGGGCAAGGTCCAGAGTTCAATTCCCAGTACCAAATTAAAAAAAATAAAAAAAATAAAAGACTAAGAGGGTCAAGAATTAGGGATCATAAAAAAAGAGCTAGAAACCAGGGCATACATGCATGTGTGCATGAGTCTTTCAAAGAGTCAGTGATAGAATGGAAAGAAATGGGCCATGTGGGCAGTGAGTATGGATGCAAATCCCAGTCTTGGCACCTACAAGCTGCGTTGGCTTGGGTAAGTTACTTAACTTTTCTGAGTACAACTTCTTAATCAGTTTGTTCCTTCAACTTTTCTGTTGGCTTCAAACAGGAGGAGGGCAAAAGTGTTCCACAACTAGACAGTTATAGTAACATTTATTACATATGCCTTATCAATATCTCTCATAAATTCTATGTATGTTCCTATGAATGAAGAGGAGAGAATTTAATGCACACCCTACTTTTTATGATTAAAAATAACTTTTAAACAATTTCATTTTTAGATTATACCAGTTTCTGGCTATAACATTAATATAAAAATCTATTGATTTCTTATATACCAACAATAAGCCATTGGAATTTGAAATTAAAATCACAATAACTTTTACACTCATACTGACAAAATTAAATATATGTATAAATCTAACAAAATATGTACAAAATCTATATGAGGAAAGCCACAAAACTCTGATGAAAAAAATCAAAGAGCTCTAAATAAATAGAGAGCTATGCCATATTTATGGATAGTCACTATTAAGACATCAGTTCCTCCCAATTTGGCTTATACATTCAACACTATCCTCCCCCCAAAATCAAGTTACTTCATGGATACTGACAAGCTAATTCTAAAGTTTAGGTGGAGAGACAAAAGATCCTGAATATTTAAGATACAGAAGAACAAAGTCACAAAACTAACACTGCTGCTATAAAAAGCTACAGTAATCAAAACAATGTGAGACTGGTTAAAGAACAGATGAATAGAATAATGAAATAGAATATAGGTCCTAGAAATAGTCACAGAAATATAATGAAAGGATCAAAAGAAATCCAATCAAGAAAGGATAGTGTTGCCAGAGATTTAGCTCAGTGGTACCGCTGCCTGCCTTGAAAGCCCAAGGTCCTGAGTTCAATCCCTGGTACCAAAAAAAAACAAAGAAAGGATAGTGTTTTGAACAAATGATTTTGCAACAACTGGATATTGAAAGAAAGAAAGAAAGAAAGAAAGAGGAGGAAAAAAGGAAGGAGAAAAAGAGAGAGAATGGAAAGAAGAAAAAAAGGAACCTAGATAAATTTTTCACAAAACCTAACTTGAAATGCACTGTGGACTTAAATGCAAAATACAAAACTATAAAATATATAAAAATTTTATAGAAAAAAATTAATAGAAAATCCAGGCCTTGGGTTTGGCAATGAGTTTGCAGATTAATTACCAAAAGCACAATCCATGAAAGAAAAAAACCCAATAATTTTGATTTAATTAAAATTAAGCTTTCCTTTGTGAAAGACACTGACTGCTAAGAGAATAAAAATACAAGCCTCAGACTGGGAGAAAGTATTTGCAAAATATATATCTGATAAAGGACTGATATCCAACCTATACAAAGAATGCTTAAAACTTAACAATAAGAGCCAGGGGTGGTGGTGCACACCTGTACCCCCAGCACTTGGGAGACTGAGGCAGAAGGATCACCATGCGTTTGAGGCCAGCCTAGGCTACATAGTGAGTTCAAGGCCAGCCTGAGATACATAGCAAAACCCTGTCTCAAACAAAAAAAATCAACAATAAGAAAATAAGCAATCCAATTAAAAATGGGCAAAAGATCTGGACAGATACTTCACCAAATAAAACACACCAATAAGTATATAAAATATGTTCAACATCATGTCATTAGGGAACTGCAAATTAAAACAATGAAATACAAACTACACATCCATTGGAATGAATGAAATCCAGAACACTGACAACGCCAAATGTTGACAAGGGTGTGGAGCAACAGGAACTCTCGTTTACCTGGACTGGGTGGCACAGGCTGCGAAGGTGGCCCTGCACAGTGGATGCAGGGGTTTCAGAGCCACACCCTAAGGCAGTAAACTGCCAACCTTTCTGCTTATTAGAATCATCTGCAGAACTGCACCGAGACCAATTAAGTCAGGGTTTCCAAGGATGAGATTCAGACATCAGTTCATATTAAATCCCAGGTGATCCTAATGTGCAGGAAGATTTGGGAACTACTGCCCAAGGTTAGCCTCCAAGTGTTACATCAACTGAGGTGACCACATTGGCTCAGTGTCTCCTGTAGATCCACCTGAGATACAGGGTTAATAGGTAGAATATAGGGTAGGTAAGACTAATACTTTCATCTACTTGACGTAACTAACACAATAATAACAAACAAGATGGTATAACATTGCCTTACCTATCTGGAGTTCCCCATTGTCTTTTAGGCCTAGAAAGCTCTTGCATTCTCTTTCTAGAAAAAAACCTAACAAATAACAGCTGATTAATTCAAAGAGAATGCTCAAGAAATATGGTTACATTAGATGACTTCTACTCAATGAAATTCCATAGGAGGTGCTACATTTGAGGTGATTTAAAGAGTTGCTGAAAATCTCAAAGTATCCAAAACACTGTGAACCCAAGATTCTCACTAACAAAGGACAACAGACGTACAACATACCAAAGAGCCTTTGGGGGAAAACTCAACTAGTATATTAAGTTAATTTATAGACAGCTTGGTGGCATTGGATTGTGAAAAGATTATTCAGATAATTTTCAGACAAAATGTCTGGCTTTGGCAAAACTATGAAATAGGCAAAATATATTTTTGGTACCACTCAACCCCCTTTGTGCCCACCTCTGCTCCTTTGAATCTTCCCTGGTTTTACTTATTTATTTTTTATTAGTGCATTGCTGGGGACCAAACCCAAGGCCTTGAGCATACTAGGCAAGTGCTTTACCACTGAGCTACATCCTCAGCCCTCTCCAACCAATCCTAATCCACTTGTGGTGGAAAACATTGGTGCTCTCCAAGAATCCACATGCTCCCCTTCTACCTTCCCCACCCTCCTTTGCAGTTGTCTAGAGCCATGTAACTTGTCACATCTAATTTAGCAGGAGTGTCGGGTATCATTTTCAGAGCAATGCTCTTAGGAGGTAGGCTGCCTCCTCCATCTCTCTCATTCCCTGTTGCAGAGACCCTGGAAGCCATGTATTCTAGATGGCAGAGCCATAGGTAGAAGAGGACAACCAGCTCAGCCTGCACTGTAGCATGAGGGAGAAACACATTTTCACTGTGTTGAAAAGTATTGGAGAGTTTTGCATCTTGTTTGTTACTGCAGCACTGCCTGGCCATTGTGGACCACTTTACCTACTATGTCACTGTAGCTCACACTATAATACATGCTTGGCAGGAGTTTGGAGTTTTGAAGGGCCCCAAAATAATGATCTTTGCTGTCCACCAACTGAAAAATAAGCATAGGAGTTGGACAAATAGAATGAAAATACTATCTCTATCAGTGATAAAATTATATTAAAGCGAGTAGTTTAGATCCCTGACATCCCTGAATTGAACCTGTGCCCCAGGGCTGCAGACCCCCTCCTGTAGTGGCTGAGCTTGCTATGTGATGGGAAGCAGATGACAGGCATTACTCACTGTAGACAGATAGGGGCCAAGAACAGAGGATTTAGAAGGCCAGTTCTCCATCCCAAATCCATCAGATCATCAGGTAGATGCCCTGAGAAGTTTAAGGGATGCAATGAGAGGCCAGATGAACTCATCGAGGCAAGTGCTTTGAGGAAGGTGATGGGGAAGCATCCTCCCTACCACTGGACTAAGCACTTCCATAGGCTCCAAACTCTCCATGTTAGAATAAGCCATGGCACAAAGAAACCCTATGTAAAGAAATACCTTCCTATTTAAAGGGTGATAGATGAACCATGAAGCTCCAGTCAGAAAGTGGGAGGCAGGGGAAGACCCGTGGTCAGCAACACCCAAGGCTGCACATTCACAAAACTGAGCCACTGTCCATCCTGAAGAACAAGCTAAAATCTTCTAATTGGATTATCTATTTCCAAGTCACTCTGTGTTATCTTGTGTTGACCCTCAGCCTTTTTTTTTTTTTTTAAACACAGGGACTTGCTAAGTTGCCCAGGCTAGGCTTGAACTTTCAAAAGTCCTGTCTTTGCCTCCCAATGTATGGGATTAAAGGTGTACAGCAACCCCTCAGCCTTTAGTTCTGGCTTTCGCAGCCTTGGAGCCTTATCTTAGCTGTGGTATGGAAGCTGTATAAACAATTATGTCCATAACCCAGCCATAATATTAACAGGGGGACACAGTCCCCCAGCATCCAGCATGATGGCGACAGTGACAAATCTCAAGGACATGGAATTGGTCTAACAATTCTTCTCATTATTCCAATATCAACCTTGAAGATTCTGGACTTGATTATTGTTAAATAAAGTACCATTTTCTTTATTATATTGACACATAACATTTGAGCATCTTCATGGGATATATTATGGTAATTTGATAATTGCATATAATATATAATAATCAGGGTAATATGCATTTTCATTCTTTAATATGTCAATCATTTTTATACATTGGAAATCTTGTATTCTTTTAATCAGATTGTTTTAATAATTAACTCTGCTGTGCTACAGAAAATCAGAACAAAGAAACAGACCTGAGGACCAGTGCAACAGATCAGAAGATGCAGAAACAACTCCAGACACACTCAGCTATCTCATCTTCGACAAAGGAGCCAAACACCCTCACTGGAGGAAAGATAGCCTCTTTAATAAATGGTGCTGGAAAAATTGGGCTTCAACTTGCCAAAGATTAAAACTACACCTATATCTCTCACCATGCACTAAACTAAAATCAAAATAGATTTAAGATCTAAATATTAAAATAAAAACACTGAACCAGTTGGAACAGAAGTTAGGTAGAACTGTTGAAGACATCAGTGTAAGAAAAGATTTTATGAACAAAACCCCAGTTGCCCATGAACAAACAATCAACAAGTGGAATTTCTTCTTATTAAAAAGCTTCTGCACAGCAAGAGAAATCACCAGCAGTGTGAAGAGACAACCCATAATGTGGGAAAAAATCTTCATCTGCTATTCCTCAGACAAAGGTCTACTATCTAGAATCAATAAAGAACTTAAAAAGATCAGACCTCCCAAATTTAAAGACCCAATCCAAAAATGGGCATCTGAAATGAACAGACATTTCTCACACAAAGAAGTAGAAATAGTAAATAAATATATGAAAAAATGTTCAACATCACTGGTCATTCAAGAGATGCAAATGAAAACAACACTGAGATTCCACCTCACTCCAGAAAGAATGGCTGCTAACATGAAATCAACCAAAAACAAATGCTGGCAGGACTTTGGGGAAAGAGGAACCCTGCTCCACTGCTGATGGGAGTGTAAACTGGTTCAACCCCTGTGGAAATCAGTATGGAGATACCTCAGAGAAATAGGACTGGAAGTCCCATTTGACCCAGCTATTCCCCTGCTGAGTATCTTCCCCAAAGAATTAAAAGAATCATGCCACAGTGATATATATGCACCCATGTTCATAGCAGCCCAATTTGTAATAGATAAAACTTGGAAACACCCCAAATGCCCATCAACTGGAGACTGGCTAAAGAAAATGTGGTTCTTTAAAAAAAATGGAGTACTACTCAGCCATAAAAAATGAGAAATTAGAGACATTTATAGCTAAATGGATGCACGTTGAGGTGATACTCTTAAGTGAAATAAATAGGACACACGTGTAAATACCTAATAGTTTCTCTAGTGTGAGAAACTGAAAGTGTACATAAGGACTGAAAGGTATAATAGATAATGTGAAATAGGAAGAAAAGGGGCAAAGGGGAAGGAGAAGTGGAAGGGGTAGGGGAAAGGAAAAAAGGGAATAGAATTAATATAAGAAAATAGAAAAATGGAAACAAAGTCTTTGTAAATAGGGAGGGATGGAGCGGTTGAAGGGAGGGCAGGGGAAGGGGGAAAAATAAGAACCAAGAGAGAGGGCCAGGGATTTAGCTCAGCAGTTCCGGCACCTGCCTCGAAAGCGCAAGGTCCTGAGTTTGATCCCTGGTACCAAAAAAAAAAAAAAAATAGGATGGTCAGAAATGCATTAGTGATCAGCTTGCATTTGAACAAGGAATAACTCTACAGATTTTTCAGAGAACATTCTTTTCATTCAGCATCAAGTCCAAAGGCCCTGGGGCATGGCATGCATATGTGTTTGAAAAACAATAGGAAGACTGGGGATTTAGCTCAGTGGCATCACCCCTGTCTTGAAAGCGAAAGGTCCTGAGTTCAATCCTTGGTACCAAAAAAAAGAAAAAGAAAAATAACAGGAGACCAGGTGGAAAACAATTACGTGAGAACAGTTGGATCCACTGCCAAGTGCTGTGTACCTGACAATGCCAACCATGGAATGCGTGCTCAGTAATTGTTAGTCCCTTTTTCCTTTCCACCTGCTGCATCTAGCATGGTACCTTGTATTTAGTAAATGCTGATAAATTGAAGTGGCATTTAATTGTTTAAAATATAAGCTTAGCTAAGTGTTCTGCAAGGGAAAATCATGGATCAATAAATCTAGTAAAATGATGCTTTTAAGATAGTGTATTTTGGGCCGGGGATTTAGCTCAGTGGTTCCGCCGCCTGCCCTGCAAGCACAAGGACCTGAGTTTGAGCCCTGGTACCAAAAAAAAAAGTATATTTTATTGCTAGATCAAACAGAGCTGCTCAGGCCCTGTCTCCCCAATACCCGGCCCCGCTAACTCTCACCCTGCCTACTGCCATTAGCCTATCTGCATTTCAGTCTCTTAGGACTTTGCTGCTTAATTTAAGGTTTCCAAGACCCAAGTTCCAAATCCTTTGGAGTCTCCAAAGGTAATAATGTGAGTCTAGAACCTTCAGAAAACTCCAGAACATAAAATAGAACCCTACACAACACCACAAAGAGGCTAGCAAGGCTGTCTAAAAAGCCACACTTATTTCCTAATTATATCATCTCAGTATGTTACCTCACACTGATAGTAAACTATGGTTAAAACTTAAATGTGTCCTTGGGCGGGTGTGATGGCACACACGCCTGTAATCTCAGCACCTGAGGCAGGAGGATTGTTGTGAGTTCAAGGCCAGCCTGGGCTACATAGCAAGACATCATCTCAAAAAACAGAACAAAAGAAACCAACCAAACAAACAAAAAGCCCATAATTACAAATGGGTTAAAATAGTAAGGATAAATATCTACTTTAAAAAGTAGATAAAAGCAAAATCTGGTGTTTCTAATAATGCTGTTTCCTTTTTTAATACACTTTAGCTGCATTGAGGGCCAGTACCTATTTTCAGCAGACATTTCTTTGGCTACTTTGTCTGTACACAGATGCACATTTTTTTCCTTTCCTTCCTAGCACTGTCTTGGTTTCATTAGCTACTGCACTTGAATGAGAGGCAAAGAGGATTGAGTTCATTAACCTGGAACTTCACAAAATCTGTCATGAGATTGCCCACGCAGATTCTAAGTCCCTGAAAGGTTCAGATCCAGTGTAAAGCAAATCTACTACAATATCCAGCAAACGAGGAATATGAGTTCTCCTAAATCTCAACCTTCTTCCCATTTCTCTTTATCTTCCATCTTTCCTCATAGAAATTGTAATTAGAAAAGGGCCCGTGACAAAGAAAAAGTATAGAATCTCCTTCTCAAAAACCCCAAGACATTCCCTCCAAATGTCCCCGGAGTCAGTCTCATCCAGCTTGGCTGGCCTGCCAGTTTAGGGGTGTGAGAATAGTACCATAGCCACAGCGTTACCGTTTTCTTATGAACTGGTAGAAGTCAGGGTCAACTGCAAGAAAATAAAAGCAAAAATTAGATTCAACAGTAATCAATGACATGAGAACTATCGCATCTCAAATCAGAAGAGATAGGAGCTAGGATAGATAACTATTTGGGGAAATAGCTGAGTTAAGTATGTATCAAAATAAATCACAGGAAAATCAAGAAGTTGAATATTCTTTTCAAAAACTAAATTAGAGAGGAAAAACAGCATCTAATTGATCACTGAATTTTAATCTTCTAGAAGTAAAGGTGATGAAAGAATAATATAAATGTATTGAAATATTTAAAATTTAAAACTTCTGTGTCAAAAATTAAAACTTAAAGAGAAAACAAAAATTTGGAGAAATATCTGGCAGCAAATATGATAAAAGCATATTAATAGTCAAAGAATATAAAGTATAAACTATAAGAAAAACAGTAAAATAGGTGACAAAAATTAATTAGATAAGGCTTAGAAACGTAATTCATATATTAAGACATATGAAGCACTAATAAACATAAGAAAATATTCCAACTTGCTTATAATCAAAACAATGGAAATTAAAAACTATATATTTTTCAACTATCAAATTAGCAAAATTTCTTTGCAAAGAATAATGAGTCTAGAGGGGTAAACTGAAATCAGTTTCTTATGCATTGTTATAAGTTTAAGTTAGTAAACTTTGTGAAAAATAATTTGGAAGTATGAGTCAGCAGTGTTTATATTTCTTAATCCATTTCTATTTATAGAAATGTACTCTAAGGAAGTAATTCCAATTGTGGGCAAAGATTTAAGTTTAAAAATGTTCATGTGGTGTCTTTCCAGTGGGAAATTGCATAAACTGGAAATAATATTCAAACCAAAGAAATGGTTAAGAAACTGAAAATTCATGTTTAGAAGTTCTTTTGTTTGTTTTTTAAAGTGGGAAAATGTAGGCAATGGTAAGGCCAAGTTATTCAAAGTCTTGTCAACATGGGGGACCCGCTCCACTGATTATGCCCAAGCAGGCTGTGAGCAGTGTAGGCTGTTAGAGTTAACCCAACTGGCTTGTTTTGAGAAGTGAGTCCAACCAAAGCCTACATGGCCAGATAACATGGCAGCTGAGGTCAGAGTGACTTGCATCCAAATTCCATTCCCAAAATTAAGAATGCTTTATCTCTTCTCTTACAAGCCTTGCCTGTATCAGCAACATGTTCCTGGCAACCACATGAAACCCTCTCACCCTAACCTAACTATGATGTCACCAATAAATATGAATGGCTTTGGCTGGCCAAGCTCTTTGCTGCTGGTTCAGGCCCTGGCCATCCTGGCTCCCCGTTTCTCTCTCTCTCTCTCTCTCTCTCCCTCTCTCCCTCTCTCTCTCTCTCTCTCTCTCTTTCTGTCTCTGTGTCTTTCTTCTCACCTTTCATCGTAGCACCGAGCAGGAGATTGGGATCCACCTCGGGGGTTCCTGATACCTCATGGCAGCTATTCCAGACAGAATCTCTTCTTGGGAGTTTTTAGTCACATCTGAGAGTTCTGAAATAACATTTTCTACCCTCTGGAGTCTTTTGGGTAAAGGAAAATGGGTGAACTCTGCCATCAGAAAGACAAGGATCAAACTCGTTTGGCTGCTTCTTCAATGGCCTGATCTTGGGCAGGTTAAGTTTCCTGAGGTTCAGGTTCTTCTCTCAGATTGAAGGATAATAGGAGGGTTGGTGTGAAGATTACTGACATGCACATGTAAGTAGAGCGCCTTGCATATAGTGGATGAATGGTGGCTGGAATTATTAGTTACAACTTCAGTGGCTGCAGTAGAGTCTTGTAGAACAGCAGTCCCCAGCCCCCTTTTTTTTTTGGATACTGGAGATTGAACTCAGGACCTTGCACTTGCAAAGCAGGTGCAGTGCCTCTGAGCTAAATCCCCAGCCCTGTCCCCAGCCTTTTTGGCACCAAGGACCAAGAAATGGCAGGATGAGGGTAGTTTTTTTTTAATTGTATGTTTTTGATACACAATAATTAAATTCCAATCACTGCCTCAGCTTTACCTCAGATCATCAGGCATTAGATTCTCAAATCATCACATATTCCATTCAAGGATTCTCTAGGAGTGCACAAGCTGGATCCCTCACTTGCACCATTCACAGTGAGGTTTGCAATCCTCAGAATCTAAAGCACCCCAACCCCTACTGATGGGCAGGAGGGAGGGCTCGGCTGGGTGACACCAGCCCTGGGGGCAGTTGTAATCATGGGAAGCCCGGCTGCTCCCCCAGCGCTCACCTCAACTGTGTGGCAGGTCCCTAACAGCCTGCCATCGAGAACTGGGGGCCTGGCTGCAGAACCAGCCATTCAACCAGCTGTGCCCTGGGTCCCCTGTGCAAGCACAGAGCGAAGGTGGAGAGAAACAAATGGATAAGACACACTCTCAGGGAGTATGCAACCTCCTAAGAGACAGGCAGGAAACATTTTTTTAAAGTGCATAAATGGAACTTTTAAACTCAGTATTTTCTATTGGTTTACTTTTTAAGGCTAAACTGACTGAAACCTAAAGAAGTGGGCAGTTGGTCTGTGAAAATATCATGCTGTCATCCATGAAAGTTTCAACATTTGTTCTATGGATGTTTCATGTATTGCCAGCACTGGCTTACAGCTTTACATACTGAGGTCAGAGTAAATATAATGTTAACCCTAACAGTGCAACTACAAATCCTGATAACATGAATGAATAATGCTCTTTCAAAACACAGTGTCTCCCTCAAAAGACACTTCTGATGTTTCCTTGCTGACTAGAAGGATGGAATTGCTCTCAGCCATCTTAGCTGCTGTACCGAGGAGCAGTGTGATTCCAAACCTGTCTGCTGTTTGAATCACCTGGGAGTCTTTAAAACCTTCCAGGTCCCAGGCCACTTCCCACACTGATTAAGCCACAGTCTCTAGAAGCGGGCTGTAGGTATCCGTATTCTTTGAAGCAGACAAGTGTGGAATTATTACAGTATTGTATAATTGCTAAGACCCCAGGCTTTGGACTCGACAGCCCGGGCCCAAACCTGGCTCTCTCCTCTAATCTTGGACTCTCTAACTCAGTATTCTCAGGTTAACACGGTTTCTTGTCTCACAAGGTGGTTAGGTGAAAGTTAAATAAAGTAAAACACCCTTCCTTCATAGTTCTGCAAACATAGTAAATATACAATAAATGACAGCTCTTGTTCTAAAACTTCAGGAGCCAAGATTTTACTTAAATATCTATGAATTTTTTAAAATGTGAGTAACTGTAAAGTTTACTTTTTTTTTTTTTTTTGGTGCTGGGGATTGAACTCGGGTCCTTGCACTTGCAAGGTAGGCGGCAGAACTACTGAGCTAAATCCCCGGCCCTGTAAAGTTTACTTATTAAGGAAGTATTTCCTTTTAGGGTTCAAAATATGAAAATAAATATTAGCGAAATGTATTGTGAACATGTACTCGTATATTTTCATTGTTTTACCTGTTTACACCCTCCCCTTATTTGAGATTAGCTTACACATAAATACACTACAATAGGATGAGTCTATTTTTAAGATGAACTATTCAAGGAAGGAGACAGAAAAACAGTAGAAGGAGAAGGGAAAGAAAAATGAATGAAACAAAGAAAGAATGAAGCCCAGCATAGTACTATCTGAGCATTCCGCCTTCACAAGCAAGGACAGTAACTTTTCTTAATACAGTAGACCTCACCCCTGGTTTTGCTTTCCAGGGTTTCCAGTCAACCAAAGCCCAACAATATTAAATGGAAAATTCAGAAGTAAAAAATTCATGTTTTGGGCCGGGGATTTAGCTCAGTGGTTCCAGCGCCTGCCTTGCAAGCACAAGGTCCCGAGTTGGATCCCCGGTACCAAAAAAACAACAACAACAAAACAATTCATGTTTTAAACAATTTTATTACAGTATATTGTTATAATTGTTCAATATAACAACTCATATTTCCCCAAAAATAAGACTTAATTGGAAAATGGGCCCTAGCTGGTCATTACCATGGTGATGGCCAGTGTCATGAAGAAGATTATACCTCACCAGTGTCTTGCGGGGGGGTGGGGTACTCTTTAAGGCTGGTAAGGCATCGATAGGCTGATTGGGGCTGGCATTTTTGATCATTATTTTTCAAGGCTGTTAGGTCTTATTTTCAGGGAAACACGGAATGAAGACCACCAATGTTATTACCATTGTTACTGATCTCTTTTTTTTTTTTTTGGTACCGGGGATGGAACTCGGGTCCTTGAGCTTGCGCAGCAGGCAACGAAACCACTGAGCTAAATCCCCAGCCATGTTACTGATCTCTTATTGAGCCTAACTTATATATTAAACTTCATCGTGGGGATGCACACACAGGGAAGAAGGATAGCTTGTGGGGTCAAAACAGAGGTTACCTTATATGCAAGTCTAACAAGAACTCCTCTATGAGACACTTTCTCAGTTACTTACTTTTCCCAATTAAAAAACTGATCGAGGAAAGTGTATTGGCCTGAAACAACTGGAATAAATGCAAGTATGGGATAATTACAGTGTTCTCCCTGCCAAAATCAGCACTTAAAACGGGAAGGGAAGGGGTAAAGAAATTTAAAATGGATTTAGTAATTATTCTTGGGAACATGACCTTAAAATTGTTCAGTGTTTCTCAAAGCAAGCTTCAAACATTATTTTAAAAAGCAAAGCATGAACACATAACACAGTAAAGAACATAGTGATTGTCAAGATAAAGTACACCCACAGGACAAATGTTTTCCACAGGTTTCTAAAGTTAAATCACATGAATGGGGTTTGATGGCTCGTCCCCCATTTCCAGTGACAGCGTCTGGGCCCTATCTTACTCCTAGTCAGATAATGGAGCTGGGCATGGTGGCACACACCTGTGATCCCAGCACTCTGGGAGGGTGACGCAGGAGGACTGCACGTTTGAGCCCAGCCTGGGCAGTTGACCAACTTAACAAGACCATGTCTCAAAATAAAAAATTTAAAAAGGACTGGGGCTGTAGCTCAGTGTGAAAGCCCTGGGTTCAATCCCCAGAACTGAAGGG